AACCCTTAAATCCATGTCAGTCATCTTGCTAAGTAATTTAACCGCAGTTTGAGGGGGAACATGACACTGAATGTGCCTTTCTGCTATTCATGTGTTTGAATTGAACCTCAGCTCCTTAAGGGAAAAAGATAGGATTTGGAAATTTGCAAGAAAAGTTGCAGAAAAAAAGTTTGCAAGAAAAGATTCCTTGCAACTTTTGAAAAAAAAACACTATTGGAGATGATAGGTTTTGAATCAGTTTAGAAAAAAAACTCTTAGATGCTAAAGTTTGGTTGCTGTCTTTCGTACTTTATCTGTAGTATCAGATCCATCAAACCAGATTGGTTTGCTCCTGCAATATCGAGATATGTCCAAGTAAGATGGGGCTGCTGTCCGTATCTGAGAGGCCAATTCAGAGAACAAACTGCATGGAGAAAAGAGAGCTTGGGTCTGAACAGCGCTGGCAGGATATGCAGTCCTCTCAGATCTGTTCAGTCAAAGCTTTTTCTTCCACTAGGCCCTTTTCTCACTCCGGTGATTTAGGACATGAATATTTGTTCCTTGCCCCATGTATTTACCACTCTGTAGCACCTGTGCTCTACAAAGCAAGGCATGCTCCTGCTGAAATTACATGTCTGAAACTCTCGGGTCTCTTCGGTGGAGACCAAACGTAGGAGCCAGCTCTGACATCCAGGCTCCCAGGCTCATGGGAATACACACCTTCAGTCAGAGAGCACCGTTTCGTCTTTTTCTTGGGTCAGGTTTTAATACTCCTCTCCCCATAAGATGACAAACCCACTCTCTGTCCATCCAGAGGTAAGGATCTGTAAAAGGCAATTCAATTTTACAGGCCATAAAGTTTTATGTCCACTTCTTGCAGTTTCTTCCCTTTTGTTTATGATTTCAGAAAAATCTCGCAGCCTGCAATCTATATTTTGCGTCTGAACATCCATAATGCAAAGCTGAACTCCAGCCACTTGTTCATGGAGGAAAGCAGAGCAGAACGCCCAGCTGGGGTTGCAGCGTGGCTTTTAGGTGGCAGACGGGAAATTTGGGTTCTGTTCCCAAGCTGGATGCTCAGAGCCAGCTGGTGCTTAGAGGCAAGGAGACCGGCCTCGGGACAACCTTTCCTGTGGGAGTCATCAATTCTGCACCACTGTTCAATAGCTTCCCAGGTTATCTCATGGTAATAAGTTGCCATTCTGAAAGCAGTATTTGTACACACTGTCGGTACTGAGAAAATCCAGATGCTCATTACACCCTTTCAGCAGCGAGGTCTGGAGTTTTCCCTTTGAATAGCTCCCATTTCCTCTTCTGAGAACGACTCTATGCATATACAAGCCCAAGATTAAAGACAGGAAAATACTGTGACATTTAGAAAAGATGTAAATAGAATAACTCATTTTGCTATCTAGGCAGGAGTCTCGGGTTTGACAAGTCCTTGAGACTCTGTGGCTCACTCACAGCATTACTCGTCACCCCTGCTCATAAACTTCCACCTAGAAAATAACGTAATTTAATTAGAAATATGGAATTAGCCTATTGCAGTCACACTCGGTTAAGCCAAATCAGTTTGTGAAGTCTGTTGTCATTGGGGCTGAAAATACCTGAAAATACCATCAGCAGCCTGATGTTAGGTGTGCGTTACAGGGGTGATCACACTACATCATCCACCATATATTCTTGTTTATTTGCTTCTCTGCCCTCCATCACTCTCATTGTACTCATCACAACCACAGGCTTTTCTTCTGTAACCTCCCAAATCTCTCTACATGCTTGTAGGACTTTCACTCAGGTATGGCAGTCAGGGCTCCTTGCACAGCATAAAGGAATAGCCCTGGGCAGTCCTTAGCTGTGATGTTTATTATCAAAAAATAAAAAGGAAAACCATGAGGATAGTTCTGTATTTAATAAACACAAATAAAGCCATCTTGGTTTGAAGTTCACAAATATTTTTGAAGGCAAATGGGATGGGAAGAGTTTAGCCTGCAAACACTGATTTGTCGTGCAGCCTGACGAGTGCTTTTCAACGTGCTTTGATCCTCTTCTTTTTTTTTTGGCCCAGGCATTAGATAATGCTTCAGAAGCCATTAGAAAAATAATGACAATTGAAATGCTTTGAAAAAGTGACAGTTTGATAGTCTAATAATAGCCCCTACGCTGATCTGGAGAAGGTTTTTGTTGCCTTTTTGTATTAATTATGTACAGTACATTTCAAAATGTCCTTTCCTCCCCAACAAATAATGTAACCCTTTCAGAGACCCGCAGTCCTGGAAATATGAAATACATGGATGCTAATGTAAGCATATCTAGCACGTAGGGACACTTAAAGGTGTACGAACACTACAAAAAAGCTGGCAAAAGATGCTGTGAGGTTGAAAGGGGAAGAACCAGAGAAGATGATAACACCTTAGGTTAAATTCTTTGGGTAGAAGACAGCCCCAAAAGGCTGGCCATGCAGAGTGCTCCTGCATGGTCCCCAGGAAGATGTTTCTCTAGGGAGAAAATACGTCCCAAAGGGCAACGTGGATGGGAGCCCACATTTCATTGCAAGATCTTGTTTTTGCAAGATCTTATTTGGCAGCGATAAATGAGCAACTTTCAAGCCTCAGAAGTGATTAATTTCTCACTGGAGCTGTCTCTGAGGCTGTCACAGCCTGACAGTCCTGACATAAGTGTCATTTATAATGTCACAAGTCTATTACACATAAATGTCATTACACAATTGCTTTGAGGATGAGGAAAGGTTCGCTGGGGGAAGAGCGTCTGATATTAAGTCAATTATATATCTTAATGTTATTGTTCAGTTGTCCCCCCTCATACAATTACTTTACGTCTGATTTGTTCATTTTGTGCAAATCAGCAATTATTTATTGCAGTGATACCAGTAGGCAACCCAGGTAGGCTCGGTGTCATTAAAACTCTGGCACAGGCTTGCACATGTTGCCGTGATTGATATCAACCTGAGGATCGCGGTGCTTTGATAAGGAGCCATCCTGAAATACTCCATCCTCGGCCTGCCCCCGCTTCTTCCCCTGCCTCTCTGAAAGGCGCCAGCATATGGGTGAGCCGATAAATCCTCCGCCTGGTTTTGATAAAGATGGCTTGTTTTAATGAGGATGACTTTTTGTGCAGCCGAACAAAAGAGGCTCTTTCTTGCTAGAAGGACAGAGGAGTTCAGCAAATTCCCCTGCGCTGCACCTCAATTATTCCCGAAAATTGGCATAAATGTAGCCTTCGTTTAGTTCTAACAGGCTTTCATCCTCCTTGGCCCAGACACAAACAGGACTTACGCTGGGGCTTGGTGCTCTGATGCGATTTGAATGCATTTATGTAGTGATGGAGCTGCCCGGCTGGCTCGGAAGGAGGAGGATGTGGGGCAGTGCTGCAGTCCCCTGAACAGCCGCGGGAGCTGAGCTGAGGTTTGAGCAGAGGTCGCCTGAATCCAGCTCAGTTTTGTGAGCTGGAAATGAAGCTGCCTGTTAGGCAAAGACCTCTTCTGAGGGCACTCAGCATTTTTGTGCTGGCTTCAGCAAAGGGAATCACGCTGTACCGCAACCCGAGCTGACTTACAGGCATGTAAATACAGAAAAAGGCCCCAGATTTCCATGATAATCCTTCAGATTTCTACGGAGAAAATCGAGATGAGAATCAGGCCTTTTAAATTGCTCCCTTTGCCTGTTTGCTATTCTGGGAAGCTATTGTTCTCAAAGGGACATCTTTAAAGCAAAAGCTGGTAGAATAATTTATCTGCGAATAATTTATTCAGTGATTGATGGGAAAAGCTGCTGAATAAATAATTCACTGAATGCTAATGGAACATCAGAGATGGCCGAATAATGAAAATGTTTATTTGCAAATAATTTATTCAAAGAAAAATGCTGGAATGTATCAGCTCAATTATTCTTGGTGAATAATCCAGTCATTCCTACCCGGCCCACTGTGACATGTTGTACAAAGATGTTGTTTTTTTTTTTCAACTAAACGAAAAAACTGCAGGTAGCTAACTCGGGTGTGCTCCAGGTGAGGAGCTCTGGTCTGCTCCTGGGAAGAGCACTATGAGAAGTTGGGGTAAGAAGGCCCTCAAGACTGAGCGAAAACTAAAGTTCAAGCCCAAACTCTAATCATGATGGCAGCTCCGTATCCTAAGCCTCGTTCACCCCTGATTCAATCCCATTATTCACAGCAGTTTTATGATCTGAAATCCTCTCTGTAATTCTAAGCATTATCCTTTTTTTTATTTCTGAAAAGCACAGGACGTGGCCCTCTGTTGTCTCTCTGAGGACTTCACTTCTAAATCTGCACTGACTGCGGCAAAAATAAATAAATTAGCCAAAGCCAAGCTTCCCAGCAGAGCTTCCTGCACTGAGCATTGAGAACATGATTGGAGGGGCCTGGCAGGGCACCCTGCGTGCCGCCGGCACCGAGGGCATCGCGGTCCTCAGCTGCCCCCTCTGCCAGGGGAGCTCCTGCCTGCACGCCGCTGTACAGCAGGTCTCAGGTGCTCCTTGAAAACTGGGCTGATTTTATGCTGATATTAGAGCGAATCCAAGCAAAGTCTAAATTATATTTTAAAAGAATCTACCCTTTTATCTCTTGACCTTAGGCCTCTCCCTCTCAGGCAGAGAAATCAATCTGGACTAATCTACTGGCCAATAAAAGTGAAAAGAGGAACCCACATAAGCATGTGTTTTTTCTTCTTTTAGACAGTTTTAACAGAGACATATCAGACATCCCCAGCTTCCTCACACCTGAGGAGCAAGCATCGTCCTGAGAGGTCCCATCTGAGCTGGGGGAAGAGGTTCAGGTGGGAGCAGCAGACGCATGGCCCCCAGGTGCTGGGTGATTGAGGAGCTCTGCAGCAGGGCCTGCACCTTCCTGCCTCAGCAAGGGCAGCAGCACCCCCTCAGCTCCTTCTGAAGGCCCAGCTGCAGGAATTGAGCAATCGGGCAATCACCTGGCACCAGGGAGCTGATAAAACCAGCAGCCTGGGCTCTGCCTTGGCTTGGTAGGTGCTTGCTGCAGGAGACGCTGTTACTGTTGGTTTTATTCATTGATTTTTTAAGTTATAACAGCTAGTACTAATGGCAGCAAGAGCTCCTTCAGCAGCTCTCTGTACACAGGAACCCTGGTTTTCCTTGCTCAGGGTTTCAGGCTGCAGGGACGTGGTGTGACTGGGAAGGAAACGCTCTGCCCTCTGCTGCTGGCGGAGCTGGCTGGCCAGAGAGTGCTCAGGCTGAAATGGGGCCTGCAGCTTCAAGATGAGCAGATAGGTGATGTGAGCATCTAATGGGGGTCTCTTCAGATGACTGTGAAGTTACAGTTGCCAGAGGAAGACCTGAAGCAGGGTATTTACAGTCCCTCTCTTCATTGTTACCTGCCTGAGCCTCCTAGGGCAGCAGCACCGTGTGTACAGGAGCAGTACAAAGGTAAGCTTCACCCAGTCTTCTGCCATTTCCAGCAACCCCCCGTTTTTCTGATTCACTTGTCCTATTTCTCCTACCTCTTTTCCTCTAGTTCTGTGAGCATGAGGTAGGGTTTATAAGCAGGAAAGTGTACAACCACCTGGGAGCGTAGCACTTTCCTTGCCCTCCTGGATGAGGGCGGGGAGGTCAGGGGCGATGTGGCTGAATTAGCTTTTTATTTTTAAAGCTTTCTTTAAGGAACTTAATTTGTTGTAGATTCATGCTATGGACTAGGGCTAAAGATGGTGTATCTGTTGTCCAAAGCGTTCTGGTTGTGTCTGCTTTTCATAGCTTGCAAACAACCCCTCAATTTACATTAACTGCGCAGTGCTGCAATCTCAGGTGCAGATCAGGTCATCTTGCCCATCTTTCACTGCTTTATCATCTTGTTTTCTCCATTTCTTCCTGTGATATATTGAAGTAAGCGACATTTTCAAGAGCAGGGGCACTAAATCATGTATGCTCTGTGTATGCATAATCTGGAGTATCTGGTCCAGAATGCTAACGAAGGCACGTTGGCAGAAAGAAATTGCCAGAGAGACCTTGGAGTCAGCTGGGACATAAGTAGTGAGAGGCAGGAGAAATCACATCTTCTTCTCTTCGTAACGGGAGTCCTAATTGTCTGAATAATTATCTCCTCGTGCAGCCATAGGAAGGCTTTGAGGTCAGGGTCTTGCATAGTGGGGCTGCAAAACTCGTGGTGGAGCTGAGTTAAGCTCTAGGTGACTTACGGACAAAAGTACAGTAGGGGACTGTGTGTGTGGGGGGAATACGTGTGTAAAATCAGCAAATGTGTTAGTGACTGAAGTGCAGGGACCTCGTGACACTCACCTCAGAGCCGAACTTGCAAGTCCCTGCCACTTTTCAGAAGCCTTTCAGATCCCCCAGGACTGCTGGGTGCATCAGATGTGGAAATAGCGTTTGTGCAGTGGGGCTGGAGGCAGGTGGAAAAGGCCCAGTCTGTGCCTTAATCCCCCGGGAATCTAGAGAAAACTTAATGTTGAGCCAGATTTCCATCATCTCTGCACTACCCTGCCTAGATCTTACAGAAAAAAAATGAAGGTAGCTGTGCTAAGAACCTGCTATTATATTTTCTTTGTGATTACACCCATCCATATCAGAACCAGCTCAGAGTTGTTTTATTCTCCAAATTTCTGGCTGTATTAGCACTGTCAGAATCCCTGATTTATCACCTTGCAGGGAGTCTAAATGCTTGTCAGTGCCTTACTTTGCATTTTTGTTCTGGATTCAAAGCTGAAAGCACAGCTGAACTGAAAACTTCTTGGATGCTGAGAGAAATGAAAATCTCAATTTTAAAAAAAGTATGAAAGGGCCATAAAAATAAGTCTTGCACTAAGCAGATCAACTCACCCTGCTAACAGGAAAAAAAGATTCAGAACGAGAAGCTGCTAATACAGGCTTCAGTTTGTGGGAAATGAATTAAAGATGCTGTTGGGAAGAACTATTTCATTTAGGTGTTTTAGTGGCGTATAACAAGTAGCTATAGCTATACTGTAGTAAGCTAAAATATTATTTAAAAGTTAATTCATATTTTTAGCATATAATTTCTAATTAACTTGCAGTAGTTATCTTGTTAAATGTCAATTAAGTCTCGGAGCATTCCTCAAAGGTTTCCTGTATTCATAAAATGTAATTATACATCTATTGCTCGTGTAACCCTTATTACTAGTATAATCTACAGCTAAATATATCTTTTACATGCTAATTATACATCGCTAACTGCTATATTGATAATCAGTAATTGATTTGGCACAATGGGTTGTCACGTTACCTTTCCAAATGTCAACTGGAGGTATTTAGAGTTACGACTCCTGGCCAAAGCTCCGGGCTCTGCCCGCTGCTGGAGCTCCCTGTGCTGCAGGGTCGGGCTGTGGGGGCTGTGTGTAATCTCTGCTCCTTCCTGGGTTCTGCTTTTGTTCCAGCTTTTGTAGGTAGGGCTGCAGAGCAGGGTCCTGTCGTGCCTGGGAAGGCACAGCGGGTCGCCTCTTGGTGTCTTCCAAAGCACCAGCTCAGCTCCATGGCTGAGCAGCGCTGACCTTCCTCTTGCAAGGCAGGATTAATTACACATGAGCAATTAGCAGAACATACCTGAAAGCCCAGTTCGCTGTGATCTAAACCAGTGATGATCCAGATGGAAAAAGGGGAGGGGGGGATATAATCTGAGAAGCTGGAAAGGCCTTAATTAGGTTTGCACATTTCCTACCCAGCAGCAACTTGGAGCAGATATTATTCCCTGTCTCTGGTCTCGGCTAACCTCTGCTCCTCCCTCCCCCTTTGCTGTCTGAACAATATTTACTGATGCATCAATGCTCTCTGGAGTTCGGATCTTCCTTGTCCCTTGCCACATCCGTATGTGTCTGTGTTGGTATTGATGTTATTCAGACAACGATCATCTCCTTCCCTTGTCAGTTTGTATTGAACGTTTCACATAGTGTAATTTTAGCGAATGAGTATCATCCTCTGCTGTTCCCATTTGTGTTTTTTTCTTCTGCTGGAAGTGGTATTTAAATTAAACTGTGCTTTGTTTTTTTCTTCACTCTCGTTTCCTAAGGCAATGAATTTTGTGGATCTGGGAAATAGAATCAATATGAAGTTGGATTGTCCTTATGAGATCCTCTTAATATCCCAGGGGGCCAGGCTTTGTAAATCAGGATTAAGAAAAGGGGAAATTACTGAGGGTAGGATTCTTCAGAGGGCTGTTTGTGTGCACATCATGGACAAATATTGAAATGTGCAAACATAATCCAGGGAATCCAGGGTTTTGTGTAGCTTTAATTGAAACAGTTTGTAACCTTCGTTCTCTCCGATCTTAAACGACTCCTTTTATCTTCCTTGAGTTCATGTGGTGGCTTCTACTGCGCATCACGTTCATAAAATATACAAAAATTCAGTGCTATTTGGAGCCATTTCTTATCCAGTGACAGGAGAAAGAGATGGCAATTCAAATAATAACACTGATGTGGCAGTGAACATCCTCAGAGTGCTGAAGCTTTGTCAAAAGCTCTGTGGCCACTACCAGGGTGTTTAAACTTTGTGTGGAGATACTCTGAAAGTAAATGAGAGGCTTTCTTAATTCTGAATAGCTTTTATTGATATTTTGAAGGCAAAATTTTCCAGCTCGCTCACAGCATTCCCTGTCTGGAGAAGTGTTTGCTCCAGCTGTGCTCGCAGTTACTCCATGGTACTGGTGGTTTCATAACAGGGCTCTCTTCACCAGAGTTCATTAGGAATAAAAACTTAATTGAATTAAGGCAGTTATCCATGCAGGAGCAATTACCAGTGGCAGACGTACTCTCTCCAAGAAGACAGGTTTGCTTATTCGACAGGACCGAGGGAGCCTGGCCAGCCGCGGACCCAGGGCTGCCCTGCCAGGTGCTGCTCGGGGCTTGCTGAGTCTCTCCTGCTCCCTTCCCCTTTCCAGGCTGTCGGCCTTCTATTTTTGAACACAGTTGTTTGTCTTTTTCCTCTGGCAAACTGCTTCATCAACTGAATTGGTATTGCTTGTGTGCTGTGATTTTTATGATGTCAGTGGCCGCCTTCGCCTCCCTGTCAGCTTGTGTCACTGCTGCTGGGGGACAGGCTGGCCGTGGCTGTGCTGCTCGCCTTCCCTAATCACTTTACATCACTTCCTTATAAATATTGATCCCTCCTGAACAGCCGTCTCCCGGTTTTCTGCCAAACCATCTCCTAATCCTTAATACTAAGTGTTTGTGGTGTTCTCGGTGAAGTTAGCTCCAATGTGCACCCGCCACGGTGGGGGGTGTTTGTGCCAAACGAGGACATGAGCAAAGATGAGCCCTCGTCTTCAGGTTTAGTATTTTGTAAAAGACTCTTTGCAAACACTACAATATCCCAGCAAAAGGCCTTCCATCAGGACAGTGTAGTTTCTTGTTAGTTCCACAGATGCATCAGAAATCAGGTGGAAAAAGAGACAGGGATGTTTGCAAGGGGCTTGCCCTGTTGCACAGAAAGGGAAGTGTTTGAAATCAGGGAACTGCAGTAAGCCAGGGCTTCTGAAACTGGAATCACTTTGTTTCAGGATATTCCCTTAGGGACTGTAAGCATCAGGCATGGAGATATTTTATGCATAATCACTCAGATAAATTCCCACCCTCTCATCAGTTATCACCATGTAAGAGTAAGGACTGATATCAGCCTCAGCTGAGCAAGGTGCTGCGGTGAGTGCCGAGGTTTTAGCACATCATTTCCATCTCAGCACTATCACTTCAGTTCCTGATAACCCTGTCTTGTCTGGCACGAGTGTAGACACCTCCCAGAGGCTCTGTCCAGCCTCGTATCTCCAGTTCAGTGATAGCACAGGGAGGAGAGATTGTGGCAGAAGTCTAAGCTCTGGCCCAAAGGCATTAACTTCTTCCCATTTGTATTTTGGTTTCCAAAGTAGATTGAGAACAAGCTACCTTCCCAGCCAAACTTCAGTATTTTGGACTTGTCTGAGAACTTAGCCTGTTAGTGTTTTGGAAATCAGATTTAATTAGAGATCTTGGTGTAATGGCAGTGCTGCGAGAGTGGGGGCTGCAGATTGAGGCTGAAGTGAAGGGGGAACCTGAAGACGAGGAGCTGCAATAGGAAGAGCAGAAAAGGTCTGAAGAAGACAGGGATCAAGTAGCGAAGATGAGAGTTGTGAGAGTTCTGTTTCCATAGCACGTGGTTCAGTTTTACCTAATTTGCAGTCCTGGCATTTTCCTTTCCTTTGATATGCTCATATATTTACCAAGCTCCAGGAAAAAAAGAAGAAAGAAAATGGAAGTTATATAGATTCAGTGTGCATAACGAAAATGTGATACGACATATTCCCTCTGAGTATTTTCAGAATAAAAAGGCTGAGAGAAATCAGATAAATGTACCAATAGAAGGCAGCTGTCTGCCAAAGCATGTTTTAAATATCAAATTTGAATATAATAGTATGCATAGTTTCCATATCA